GAAGAGGAAGGTGGAATGCATCCTGGGTGGTGATCGGTTATTCTTGAAATGAGGGAGGTCAATTGTGGTCTTAATGTCAGAGTAGATTAGCTCGGATGGTCCGAATTCCAAGGATGGTTTTTGCAGCTGTGGACTGGAAACAGGGCACTGTTGCTCTAAGACACATTTAGATCCCCTGATTGTGGACGACAAGATGTCCCTTCTTACAAACTATCCTGACATAGTCATTTGAGATCTAGAAATAGTCCTACTGCAGCCCCTCGTCTTGCAACATGCCTGTTGCATGATGTTAGGGTAGCTTCAAATTTCCGAAAGTATTCTTGCTCCAAGGAGTATGCTCACCAAGATGTCTCCCCACGATGGTGGAAGCATGGGTACTGCAAGGAGTAATAGTACCAGGAGGCTTTAGGTCTTCTTCCTAGTTCTGGCAATGAAGGATCGAGGTTTTGATGCAGGAGAAATGGTGCCTGGCACAATTCCTCGCAGAATGACCCGCCCCTCAACACTTCGGGCATTTTGCTGGCCGTCTGAGTTCGAAGGTCATGGGAAGAGAGGACTTCAGATGAACCCCACGCGTCCAGAGAAGACGGTTTGACGCCCACCGAAGCCATCGTCGCTATGGATCGCTGAAGCTTGGATGACAAGAGATACCAAGAATCCGTGCTCCAGATCCGGTCTCATCCGAATGTCAACGAACGGAAAGGCCGAGATGGAAGGATGAAGTCCTTGGCGCCACTCATTCGGAAAGGTTCTAGTGCCTGCTTAGTTGGACATTGACACTGATTGTAACCAAACTCTTTCTCCTAGATGAAACCCTCGTTCCGTCCTTGGCGCCACAATATATCAAAGTCGTCTCACTGACAGGAATATCAACAAAATGGAATAAATGTCAAGCCAAGATCGGCCCTAATCGCGACATCAATGAGCTTAACTTTCTCCGGTGGAATTTGAGAATCCTCCGGTCAGGAACATTTCGGACTCAGACCTCCTTGCGATCAAGGCCAATATTCTTCTCGGTGGCGTAGCAAACAAAAGAATGGTTTCTTAATCCTTTAACCAGGGTCTACATCTGCAGTTCCTAACTACCCGCATTTGGAACGTGATTTCATCGACTTGGGTGCAGAATGTGGCAGGTGGTAGAGAGCTCTTGACAGCCTTGAAAAAATTTAACTCGTCGGGAAGAACCGACTCCCGAGGATCCCTTGAAGCAGCGGGAAAGGAAAAAGATAGGATGAACGTGTACCCAAATCACACTTTTGAAGAGGCACAGCACCCCGCCACGGATGTAGATATCCTGCCGAGACCGAACACTCTCTCGAAAACGCTTTGAGAACCCGAATTGCCTGTCACAAATGACACCGAGAACGAAACAGCATGCTTCTGTACCTCAATCAAGTTTATACGGCGAGGGTACATTCAAGACAAACCATCTTCCACTCTCGCCTTGACTGCTTCATGCAAAGTTATCCAAGCCTCTTCAACAACAGAAAGCCCCGCGTCTCCAGAGAAGAGCGACTCATCAAATGCATGGTCTTGACCAACAGCAGTGAAAAGCTTCGCCGGAGGTTGACCTGTGTTCATGTCAGCTATCAAACTTCATCTCGATGCTCCTCGTTTCCAGAGAGACTCACCAATCGCCTCCACCAACCTTACGGAACACTCATATGGCGCCGCCCGATCCTGGTCACCATGAACCAAAATTGTCGGCGGGAATCGCTTCCAACTCTCATCACCCAGCTCCCAGTCCACATCCTCCATCATCTCTGGGAATTGATTCTCTTGTAAGAGCCACGGCACTAGCGCTATCCTAGGAGGCAGAGCCTCTGGCTCTGGTCTTTTCCATTCAAGATTTCGGCTCAAATCTGGTAGAAGACAATCCGCGTCGAATCTTTTAGATGGTAAGGTAGAACCAAGGGTGACGGGTTCGCTATATAGGGGCCTCACACGTTCCCAGCCGATGGGAGAGGGGCCGAATTGGACGTTGCTGTGGAAAAAGGAATCGGACATGGAGGTTATGCCGTAGTAAGTCAATATGGCAATGGGCTTCGGGTCCATACTGTGACCGCAGAGATATGAGAGATAAGCTCCTATTCCCTGGTCAGTACATTGCCAAATTTGAAGTTGAGAATGAAGCCAAATACCAGCACTTCTCCCAAGGCAGATCACGTTCTCAAACCTGGCACCACTCAAGCGTCCTGTCAAAATGCCTGGCAGCGTCTCTCTCACAAACAGGAAAGCATCTCGAGCGTCTTCCCACATCTCCGCTCCCGATATCTGAGGTAATTTTCGATAGTCGGTACTAACGAGTATCCATCCTCGGATGAGACACTGTTGCACGACATGAGGTGGAATAGCTTCACGGTCTGAATCAACAAATCCGCCGCCGTGGAAGTAGAGGACGACAGGTTGGGAACGTTTGTATTCTCGTCGATGAGCGTCGATGGAACGAGTGTAGATATCAGATTTGAGTTCCAGGCCGTCGATTTCCTTAAAAATGTGGGTGATCTTGATTGCCATGGTTGAACTTCAACCTGCCAACGTCGAAATTACATGGTTGATCTTAGCACTTGGTAATTTCTTGAGATGGAGGAAAGAATGACATGTAATTTAAAGTCCCAATCGGCGCCTGTCAGCCGCATTCGGCGACTTTCAGCACTGACGGTGTCCACCACGTGATATAAATCTTTCAATCAACTCATTCTTCGCAGCGGAATCATCCTTCCGAAATAATACTCAAATAACACCATAGCAACAGCATGAACGAACCTCGCAGCATTGTTGCGGTGCTTCTGCGTATAGTATCATGTGATACTTCACTCTCCCAAAGTCACCCCTCCTCGAACGCCGGGTTTCTGTAGCCGGACTGCGACAAGCAACAGACTGAGGATTGTGTGGCAAACGATGTGCAACAACGAGCATGCAACCCCTGCCGCCAACCAATGAGACGCGGTATGTGGCCCCAGGGGCGTCGGATTTATTTCAGGCACTATTTCAGACTTCGGAGGCATTTTCCAGAATAAAAGAGAAGATGATGAGATGGGATGAAGATGAAAACGAAGAGGGAAAAGGAGCAACTTCACAAAAATCAAGCCATATCCTTGACATGCAGCATAAAACGTTCTCACGCTGCATGGGACTCGCGCATCCGCACGCGAACATGCTCGCATTCCCATGATCACCTTCCAAAACGTGCATGACCCCATAGAATAAGGTTCAGCGTTTCAAACTGGCTACGAAGCTCTAGAAGCATGGTTTCGCGACAACATATGCGTGTCGATTTGAGGCCCGCCGAGACTTCACGATGAAATACTTTGTTGCACATCGTTGAGGGCCGCGCCAGGTCTGTGGGAGCGTCTGCGGGAGGTCTGCTCCTGGGTCCGACGGCGTTGCTGGCCAGGGTGCCGCGAGCAGCTGCGAACGAGTGGAGAAGCGGCGCACAAAGTTCGTAGTTTCTGAATCCAGATGAAAGAGCTTTCGACATTTAGATGTCTAAGATGGACTGAGTGAGATGCGTCTAGAGCAGATTGTGGGTCGTGAAATTGGGTTGAGAAGGAAGTTAACATTGGGTTGAAGAGGAAAGTGGAATCGCAGTTAGGGTGCGATGTCTAAGCTAGACCTAATTTGGGTTAGGTCAGCTGTGCAAAAGCCGAACATTTACATCTTCACTGTTCGATTCCAGACCTCTTGCAATATTAAAGCTACCATGATATACCTTTCAAAAGTTACCTTTCAGCTTGATACATTAAGAGTTAGTGGATTCGAACCTCCATATCTCTTCAGCGTACTTGATGTGCATGCAATTCCAGCAATTCAACTCTATCACAACATATTCATGAATCACACATTCTAATCACAAGCATACTTAGATGTCAATCACCGAATTGAAGGGAGAACAAACGCACCCCTCTAAACTTTCTACAAGCGATAATCCACCATCCGCCCACTTCATCAGCATCCCTCTTCCTCGGCGTACCTCTCTATTGGCACACCTCTTGCCCAACATACTTCCTTCTCGAGATCACCTATGCATCAGCACATACTTTCATCAACCTATCAAAGTGAGCGGTGGAGGAACACAATCCTCCGCAACACCTTCGGCCACACCTTCTCTCGGCTATCTGAGTATCCTAAGACTAGTTCTGCAACTACTACAACAAGGATAGCGGCAAATTGACCAACAGCACATTCCTCCTTAAGATCGACTTCAGAGATCCGGCTCAAAACTTCAGAATCCTGCATTTCGATACTCAAGCATCTCAGCAGGTCACTATCTTTGCAGAATCGTCCCCCCAGCAGGATATTACCTCAAGAAATTATTAGCTGAGCAACCCGGCACTTTGGTACTTTGATACTCAAGGACATAAGCCATCAGCAAACAAGAGGATTGGGATATTTTCATGGAGTTATATTTTGGTGTATCACTGTTTGATCGATATTCAGTTTATTTTAGCTTCAAATACGCTATATGGATAAGCTAGGTTATACCTTTCTTAGCCACAAAGCTTTTACTAGTGCTCGAACTTTTGTTTCTCCGGATTCTATCGCTTTTGAATCAGATGAGCTCTCAAAGGTCTGGAGGGGTCGGCAGGATCCTCTACACGTGACCTATGCCAAGATGTCAAAAAAGAAGGAAGTATTTTCGAGATGTAAGGTTTCCTTATAATTCCTCGATCCGTTCAAGGAAAATGTGATCACCCAAGATTACAATGCTAGAATGAATGCAGTCCCCACATATTTCAGCTCAGGCCACGGGCGTGTTCCTGAATTGCAGAGGAAGGCTTGGAGGTTGGCACATATATAAAGGATTTTTTGCAAACTTGTAAGAACTTGTCAAAGACAATTTTGTGCTATTGAATACACCCATGAATTATGATGGTCACAAAACCTTTCAAGTGAAATCTCGCTTCGGCCCGCCACCACCACCGCCAGCAAAAGGGGATCTTTAGGCACCATTAAAGGCTTAAACCCGAATTATCTTGAAAACAACATTAAAAAGCAGAAGGTTCGATCGTGGATCGAACACGAGACCTTAGGATGTCAATTTTACTGCAATCCCACGCTGTTTTCACTTAGTTTTTGTCGCGTTGGAGTCATGAAGAATGTGGGGTAGCGTACCTATACCACTTAGCTACCGAACCTGATTGGCTAGCAATTTCCTTATTTAAATTTATAACGATCAAACTTCCATACCTCCACTTGAGAGAAAGGAAGGTGTGGTCTCCCTTTACCTAGGTACTTTCATTGCCCCTAAGCGAGGAACACCCAGCACACATTTTACACGGATACATGCATGACAACCTAGACTCGACATTCTTTCTTGATTGTTGATACGCATTCGTCACAGCACAGCATAATTTTATTATTTGTTCAATCGATGGCTAAACCCCGGGACACTCAGCTGACGGCGTACCAAAAATCGTGCAGGTTCCACACTAACACGTGATTCGGCTTCATAAGCAACCTCGAAAATGAGCTAGCTCTTCACTTAAGAATAAATGCCGCTAGTAAAACGAACGACATCCTCTTTGATTTAGTTCTCGGACTGGCTACTAGAAGCTCAGGAGTCGATACTAAGCTTTTCTACCAGACTAGTACCCCTGAACTAAAATCTCGCTTAGCTCGAGAAAGGGCCATGCACACACACACAATCAGCCTATTATCAACACGAAGTATTGACGAGAATTTAACCAATAGGCATCACACGACAGCCTCAAATATTCTGGATTCCTCAGGCTGGTCAAGACCTGCAGCATTCTAGGCTTCCATGCTTCTAGAAGCCATCACCCACACCAGCCACTTCACAAAGAGGGCAGGTGATGTATATCTTTCACACCTCATCTATTCCAGCTGCAAGACAACGGCATAATATTCGCCTTCCTTCCATGGTACGCTTTTTCTTATCATAACAACACGATCACGTTTCTGCTGAGGAACAGGCGCATGAGTTCGGGAGATATTGGTAAGGCTGACTGGAAACAGCGGCAGCAGTGTTCTATATTGGACTTGGGAATTTGCTGAAACGCAGTGTAACAATCCATTAATGTATATAAATGCCACCTAATCGTGTTTCAGACACAAGTGTTTCCCCTCAAAACAGTTCAACGTTCGCGTCAATCCAACCATAAACCCATAATTAATGACGATAGATTCCACGCCCACCATGGTCCCTCCCCGAGATCCCGCAGCCAATTCCCCCCGTCGTGACACTTCAGATTCAACTGGTATCTCCCCAACGCTCGGAGTCGCACTCGGAATCAGCGTGACTGCAGCCCTCATCTCCCTGTTTCTCGTTTTGTTATGTCTCAGTTATTTCAAAGCTTCGTGGCAGATAGATATGGGCCTAGGTCAGCAGCATTCGGACAACAGGGACAAAGTCGCGCGAAAGGACTTGCGAGGGCAGTTATCGAGAGTTTGCCAACTGTGAGGTTCGGAGATGATAGGGTGAAGGATGTTGAGTTGGTGGAGTCGAGACGGGTTGAGGGTGCGAATGAGACGGGTCGGGATGGTGATATTGGGACTGTCAAGTTGGATGCGCTCTCGAAGTTCGATGGAGAATCACCTGTACTTGGAGCTGTGAACTAAAGAGAGGAAACAACGATGACCTCTTTTGGTTAGACTAAGAAACCCCACCAAGGCGATTCAAATTGCTCGATATGTTTGAAGGACTTCGCCGAGAATGAAGAAATTCGACTTCTTCTTTATAACTACAAATTTCTTCCGAAGTACGTAGATTCCTGGCTCGAAAAAGTCTCTGGGACGTGTCTTGTGTGGCATGTCAACTTCGATTCCTTCAGAGAACCGTGCTGACTCTCCCTAGCCGGTACACGTTCCCCGTGCAAGAGGCTGAAATGGATACTTCTTTCACGACGTCTCAGTATCATGCTCCCGCCGGAACAGTGAATGACTAAATGTTCGAGACTTTCCATGTTTTGATGCCGAGTGTATTGCATTGCATTGCACTTATGGAGCATTCGGGACCGAGAGGACCAAAGTTCGCCCCAATGCGGGCCAATTCCAGGCTCTTCGTCATTTCAAAGCTTTGGAGATCTTCCGTAATCCAAAAAAGACCAAAGGACATGGCTCAAGACGTCAACTTGTCTCGGCGAGATAAAAAGGCTAGGATAATACACTTCCGACACTTGGAGAGAAGTGCGGCAGTCTGCCTGCAGGCGAGAGATGGCTGTCAGGCGATGCCAGACTTCCCACAGGTAAATTTCTTATGGCACTGTCTTGATGGAAGAGGAACGAGAATATGGCAGATGTTGTTGTAGTGTCCAACGAGGACAAGATGTTGGAAAAATATAAAGATATTTAAGATTCGACAGCTGAAGGAGGAACAAAAACAGTCAGATTTAAAGCACGGCATTTAATATCTTTTGGGAATGAGATGTATGTGCGGAAGCAAGGAATGAGGAAAGAAATTCCGAATAAAACAAATGTCTAAATGCCCCTGAGGCCAAATCCAGTGCCAAAATCCCAACGCAAAATATGCAGAATAAACTCCAGGATATACCAATCTATTTTTTCAACGCTCGTCGCTCATACAATGCTCGTCCTAATCATCAATCTTGAATCCTCATGAGAACGAAAGATACTCCATGCTTTTTCTTACCCAATCTACATAGCGACCATGGCAATGACGACAGCGCCAATGAGGGCACCGGCAACATTGATACCAAGGCCCGGCGCAGCGTTCGGCGTCGATGTGGCTGTGGCAGCAGCACTGACGGTGGTGGATCCAGCAGCGGCTTGGGCAGCAACAAGGGTGGCGGTCTGAGTAGCAGTCGAAACGACTCCGCTGAAGGTCGAGGTGACAGTTCTGGTCGTCAAGCCAGTGGTTCGCGAATCACTAGCAGTGACTGTGTACATTCCATCGTGGTATGGTCCGTCCCAGCCCCACGCGCTCCATCCACCCCACCATGGGTAAGCGTTTGTGCAGACATCCTGAACAGTAGAGCAGCTGCTGTAGGCTGAGCATTGGGCTGATTGGGCAGCAGAGGCAGAAGACTGGACGGCAGTCATAGTTGGGCATGCTGAGTTGATGCAGTCGTTAAGAAGAGTCTGGGTGGCGCAGTGACTGGACCAAGAGCTTGAAGTCCCTGGGTAGGCCGAAGCAAAGCAAGATCGCTGGGAAGGTCAGTAGTGATCAGTTGAATAATGAGACTACTCACAGCACATGGGTTGGCCGCACCCCAATCAAAGTTACCCCAGTTTTGTGCTGAGACAACTGAAGAAAGAGCAACGAAGACGGCGGTGGTGAACTGCATTGTGGCTGATATGTGGCTGGATGGGGGACTGAAATGGTCTGGAGTGTGGATGGCAAAAATGACAAGTAGAATAGGCAGAACATATATACTGGTCGGATGAATCCTTTAGAAATTTCCAGCGAGGAAATTGCGTAGTTGTGGCCGATGGGTGACCGGCAGAGATCTACTTTCGGCGTATTTTACTGAGGCTCCTTCTTCCTCTGTAATACGGAACGTTTCAAGACTGCATGAAAGGAGTGACCAACTTTAGTTCCAAACATCCTAAAGGCATCACAGAATTTTCAAGCAAACAATTCATTAGCTGCGTGGCCGTGATTGAACGAATACAGAAAGATTGTTCGGAGGTCGAGAATGCATCGTGGTGATCGGCAGTTGGATGCCGAGCCAATCACCTGCTCGTTTGAGGGTACCCCTATCCTGCCGAGAGCACTGATCTATACTTTTAGATCATGATCACGATGTTTCTGTGTCATTTATTGTTCACTGCCTGGCAGGCTTAACAAAAAGATTTGACGGCTGTTCTGTTAGAGTACGGTCTTGACAAACAGAGGCGTGTTTCAATTCAAGTGTGCTTACGCGAAAATGGTCCGTAAGGATTCAATAACAGCGAGCACAAAATGCAAATGCACCATGAACGCTCCATGGGCCTGAAAGTCAGAAATCTTCAAGTGAGTCGGCGCCTTCCTAAATTCGGAGATGTGCTACGTGACGGCGTGTCTTGACTCGATGCAAATGTTAGTAATGAGCAGAGTACCTCTGAGCTTTACGAGCTGGGCTTCATGGGTCGGTGCGCCACAGGCCTTTTTTTCTCTTTTAGCGAGCCACTTTTTTGCCTACAGACTCCAAAAGTCGCGATTATCACTTTAAAACTTCACAAGCACTGCCTTTTAAATTTATTTCAAATCTTAGCTTTAGGTTTCGTCTTAGTTGAATTGCGTTTTCAACCCTTTAATCGTCTATAATTCGAGATTTTATTCCCCATTTTCTTCGAAAATACCTGAGCGCACAGACCCGTGAAGCCCAGCTCGTTACGAGCCTGGGATCATAAGTCTGTGTTTTACAGGGCTCTTCGGGCCTTCTCGCTAATAAATGAGCGCTGAAACTAAATTTCGATTTTTAATCACGAAACTAAATTAACTCAGATTTGCTTTATATACTCACTATAGCTTTTTATAAATATCGTAATATAAGTTCAAATAATTCTGATTTGTGCGTATTTTATACTTTTAAAGTAAAGTCGTCGAGTTTAGTTTTCGTCGCTTAAAAATGCCCCGAAAAATGCCTGGAAAACACAGACTTATGATCCCAGGCTCGTTAAGATAGCGAACAAATGCCCTGCTATGGTAGCTTTGCCAAGTTCTCGGAGCATGTTCCCGAATTCCACTAGCAAGAATTTTCCTGGGTCCGGAGTTGATCAAAGGCGTGCACTAGGTCGCTCGTGGATGGTGTTGCGTGAGAGGGCCAAACGTGATAATTGCGACCATCTGCAGTTAAGTCTTGAACGCCCCAAGTTGGAGAAGCATATTCGGATCATATATGCTGACTGATAATGACACGGACAAGATGGCTTCTTGTAGGCGCTCAAGTCTTTCGTTCGAGGTGTTATTCTTAGCATAATTCGACGAACAGGTCTCGAATAGAAGGCTGTTTAGATTCATATTGCGCTCGGATAGACGTGTAGGAAATGGATTCGTCCATTCTGGTCGGAGTTGTTCCCCACTCTTGAGATGCCCCAAAGCAACACGAAAAGGGTGCCGATACCACACTGCCGGCGGTAGACACCAGTATTCTGCATGACTAAGACGGAGGAACGACTCGCAAGCTGCGAGGAAGAGGGTGTCTGCCTTGTTGACTTACGGCGATTGCTAGCTACGCCAATCCCACATTCTTTATGCCCGCTCAGTGAAGACCATTCGTCCATTAGACCATCAGACTTGGAAAGGGTTTTGGAGTGCTACACGCAGCAACGTGCAGTCCAATGGCACCAATCCGGTGGTATTGTACTCGCAGAATTGACTCCTCTTGCTCGATTCGGTACTCTTCTTCCGAGAACGGCTTTACCAAGCGTGCCTGTTTTTGATATGGGTTTGACAAGTCCACCAAATGCATACCGTCCGCCTGGGCCATCACTTTCTCGTGGTCCTGATTGGGCTGGACAATAGAGCATGACCCTTCCTTCAGATGGCCGAAGCAAACCTGGATGAGATGGAGAATTCCAGGCAATGAAGTATGTTTTGCGAGGTTCAAGCTCGGTACATCAGGTGTGATATTACCTCTGAAAGCCGCTGCGTATGTGTGCCATCATTCATAGTATGCCTTGAGTATGACATGGTCGCATCTCAAGACAAGGCTGTGTCAGCTCGTCGCTTAGCCCGGTTGCTCAACTCAACGACATATTTTTGATCTGGAGTGCACCTGCTCTGGAACGACACACTATTTTCTGTCTCTGTTAAATCTCCCTGGCCTTCTCCCATAGCTCTTCAGGCTGGTGGAACGGCTCTTTGGGTGACAAGCTTTTCAACAGACGACTCTCTGCAGTCGCCAAATCATAGAGGTTTCTCTTCGCACACTTGAATAACTCGGATGCTCCTGAGAATACCGTACTGACTCGGTTGGCAACGTAAATGCTGCATAAACTATCGTTCTCGACGGAGGTCCGATCAAGTTCATCACACCACTTCAAATTGAAGCACCCATCGCAGGAGAATCTCCGGACCAGGCTGGATGTCATTCGAAAAGACGTAGAACTAGTCAATTGTACTCCACCGCACATGAGGCACCATGGGGCCATGCTCTCCGGAATCTTCCCCCTATAATGACCTCAGCCTGACGAGCTGGCCTCGTCACTTTCGTGCCGGCACTGATGTCCTACATTGCGATTGTTTGATCCTGAACTGTCTAAATATGTACAAGGAGTACAATTAATAAACTAATAATAAAGAATAAAAGATAACTTTTCTTTTGAAAAGGTGGCGAAGGACACTGAAAGCACATCTGACATGTTGGAGATATCGCTGTCCAAGTTGTGTTGGGTCTTCATGGTCAGAAGTATGTTGTCTGTGCTGGCCCGCCGCTTTACTGGCTAGCAGCGCCGCAATAACGCACGCCTGCGGCTAATTTGTAAATCGCCTAGTGGTGTCTCAGGACCTTGCAGGCCAGCTTTAGGTAAAGCCATATAGATTTGAATAAGAAAAATGGCATCCAACAATAACAGAATCCCTCGTGGCGCAATTGGCTAGCGCGTTCGACTGTTATACAGCAGAATATCGAGAGGTTGGTGGTTCGAGCCCACCCGAGGGAGTTAAGTTTTTATTTTTGCACGGTATTACCGTGAAGATGTGTTGTTGGATATATATATATATATATATATATATTTTTTTGGCTTTGGTGGTGTCTTGAGCAAGTTGTGCAGGTTTCCTATGGTGCCTGGCGGACTGGTTCGGCAAAACGTCCGCTGTATGAGCTAAGCGAGCGAGCGAGGCCCTTTTCTCGTTCCCTTATAAACCAACCCAACAACCATAAAGTTTTGATGATAATGTCCTATGAGTTGTAGGACTTTCCGATTACATTACTATACTCCTAGAACTATCAACGCTTGAAACATACTTTCGTTGAAGCATTTCCAAAGAATTGCCAGAGAGAGGATCAACAAATCACGTGAGAGCTAATATCTTCCTGATCTTTTACCTGCTAATGTGCGGAAGAGGTGAAGGGTAAGGTTATGGCAATGAGGTCCAATTTGTGTGAAAAAGGCTTTAGTCTTTGTGTAAATGCATGTAGAAGGTAAACGTGGTTGTAGAAGAGGGGCCTGAAAAGTTCCTTTGTGCAGTAAAACAGGTAGGTACCTCATAACTTGGAACTTTACGTTGCGCCAATGCTGAAGAGTTTTAAATAGATACTGCATTATTTTCAAATGACCACCGTCTGCAAACGTCGGAAGACTAGAAATATTAAGGAAGAAGATGATATGTCTTTGGTTCTTTAGCTGGGAAAAATGCTGGCATATTCAGACTCTTTCGGCTTTTTCTTGGGATGAAGCAATACGGAATCACCTTCAACTCTGTAATGTTAACAAGAGTGAATGTTTCATATTTCTCAGCCCGGCGCAAAACTTTTCTAACGAGCTTTTACAACGCGCCTTGAAATATCTTGTGATATCTTCAAGCATTCGGACTTGACGGAATTAACAACCAAGCCACCACAGCCACACTTTGACCTGATCCGTGCACGTCAAGATGGCTCGCATTAAGCTAACCATTTCGCGGAATGCCGCGGAGGAAGAGGAGAACATCTTCATTTCTCCTGAGGTCCCTCGGCGCAGTACGAGGAACCAAGATATGTCCGCAGGGGAGGCTTCTCCCCAACGAGAGGCGACACCTACAACTACTCTTCCAGTCACCGTCCCACAGAAACGCGCGCTCGAAGACGATCACCAGCCCGCGGTCTCCTCCCCATTGAACCCCGACTTCAAGTCCAAGGATGATGCGCCCCTCGCTCGCGAACGCGCATCAAGAGCGAAGAAGGAGTCATTGAAGAAGCGCGAATCCAAGGCTGGCTCCCTTGCACCGGATACCAGTGCGAGAGCGACTCCAGATCCCAAGGCAAGCACCTCGAAGAGCAAGAAGGAGGACGAACCCGATCTTGCGCCAATTCGCTATAAGCTCCCTCCTCCAAAGTCCACAGATTTTGAAGCACCTCGAGGTCCAGTCTTCATTCCTGCGCATATCAAGTCTGCTCCAGATGGCACAAAAATTCAATTCAACGAGACTACTGACCAGTAAGTCACCGCCATTCCTACACATCTGTGCTAACATTTTCAGTGTCTACAATAAGAAGAACTTCCACTACACCCACTGTATTGCGGACCCTGCTTTCCCATCTTCTCTCTATTATCGCCAATCGGAAACCGAGCCCTTCTATCCCCGCCTGAACTTCGAGGATACTTCTACACATATGTTCCTCGATGAGGGGGGTCGGCATATCACTACAGACAAGGGCTTCCGCATGGCTAAGGGCAACGTATGCGTGCGCGAAGGCAGATACTATTGGGAGTGTAAGATCACAAGCGGTATTCCGAAGCGAAAGCGTAGCGATGCGCACGCCCCAGAGTCGGATAATGGTCATGTTCGCATGGGATGGGCCAGACGTGAAGCAACCTTGGATGCGCCAGTCGGATTTGACGCTTATAGCTACGGTTTACGAGATGTTAAGGGTCAGAAAGTTCATATGTCTCGACCAAAGGATTTTTTCCCGCCTGGAGAGGATATTCGAGAGGGGGATGTGATTGGACTTGAGATCAACCTGCCTTCCGAGTCACTGCATCGTAAGGTCGTCGAGAGTCATTATAATCCAGCAGTCGATCTCGCAGACGAGGGAAACACAGGAATCGAACGACCAGATATCATTCGCGATCGTGTTCCAATTCGGTTTAAGGCACACCTCTACTTCGAACAAATCGAATACCACTCCTGTAAGGAGCTGGAAGAACTGATGAATCCCTCTCCGGTCATCTCTTCCTCAGGCGGAGTGGGCGGCGCCATACAAGAACCATATCCTACCCATCCAGTCACGGCTCTTCGCACGCTTCCCCATTCAAGTATCAAGGTGTACAAGAATGGACAGCTCATTGGCACACCCTTCACCAACCTCCTGGCCTTCCTCCCACCGGCTTCGAAGCCATTGCCGCAAGTTGGAGCAAGAGAGGGACTGGATGATGGTATGTTAGGCTACTACCCAGCAGTGTCGGTCTTCCGAGGAGGTGCTGCAGAGGTAAACTTCGGCCCCGATTTCTGGTATCCACCCCCAGGGCTCGAGGATCAAGACGACGAAGTAGATATGATTGGCAGCGACCAACCTCCAACTACTTCAGATCTACAAAGGCTTCGAGCAGTCTGTGAGCGTTACGATGAGCAAGTCGTGGAGGACATTGTGTACGATATTATCGATGAGGTTGATTTCTGGATGCAGGATGGCGGCGTTAGCGGAAAGGGAGTCACAAAAGCTGCCGGAGTTTCGGTACCAAGCGATATGGCAGGAGGCGTTCTCGGATCAGAGATCAAGGAGTTAGTTCAGGAGGATGACTGATTTTTAGGAGTTTTTTGAGGATACCATATCTAACCGCAGAAAACTGCTAGCATGTACCATCAACTCTGAGTAGAGACACAAAATGTAAAAGTCTTTGCATATCCCTACTTTTCAGAGAGATTTGGACTTCCGGTTCGGTTTGTCAAATATATGAAGCTTTACGCTTACAGGCAAGCACTTGCATTTCTTCCTCGGGTCTACCCTACTTTCCGCGATGCGCACCATGACGTAGCTCGCCAGAGAAGCCGAATCAAATAAGTCTCCCACAAAACCGGCAAGACCGGAAAGCTGTATCCTCAATCCCGCCAAGCATCCAGATAATCGACTTAAAGCTACTAATCAGCCCTATGGTACAGTCAGCTGGCAACTAAATTAGCTCCTGCAGCAATCACCAAATCCACTTCACCCCACCTCAGCCTCTCTTTTGTTTACTTTCTCCATCCGTGCGTCCGCCTCCCAAAGTCGAACCCCTCCACACAGTACCGCGCCATCTCACATGGCCGCCATCCAATCCTCTCAGAAATGCCCGCCCTCTCTCCCATAAGTCTCGCATCAGTTATAATTGGCTTTATATCCTTCTCCTTCACACTCGCGATCTGGCTCCACGCATTCTGGGAGTCATTCCTTACCCTCGGTCAAGCTCCCTCTCAACTCCAAGACGCACTCTCCACCCTCCGCCAAGCACTGTACGAAGAGCGCGAGTACCTAAAACGCAAACGACGGCAAGGAGTCGGTTCCGAAGGCCTGTCTTCTTCAAAAAATCGAACAACAATATACAATGACGGCGGACCGACGAAAGTGATCAACGACGCTGTGAAAGACTTGATCCGAGAATTCAAAGCGTATGAACGACCATTTTTAGAAACGGAACATGCGGGGAGAGAGAAGGAATTAGAGTGGAGTTTTGATGCGACGCAGCAGTATTATAAGAGTGATTTCATACATCGGGTACTGTGGCTGAGGAGTAAGGGAGGGATTCAGAGTATTGCGGAGAAGTTGCAGAAGATTCAGACCAGAAGAATTGCGGTAGAGGTTACGGAGATGCATTTTCAGACAAGTGATATGATGGGGATGGTGCGGGATTATGAATACAGGTTAAGAGCAATAGAAGAGAGGTTGCAAATGTCGAGAGTTGGGTGGGATGAGGTAAACAGAAGGAGTTAGGAGTTCGGGGATATACCATTGTATTGAGTTTGAGCACGGAGTTTGGGTATATATATGATTTATGATAATAATTTCATTTAATTTCATTGCTAGAAGGCTCGTGTCTCATCCTTAACTATGTTTCTTCTATACATGTACCAAGGAGCCGTCGAATAATGTATATATGTGAGTACTAAGAAGTGGAAACTCTGGTCTAGAAACTCGCAAGTCAGAAATTATCAAAAGCCAGCGTCGCATTGATAAATATGAAACCATGCGCACATTGTTACGAAGACAGCAAGCCTACTCTAAAAGAGGCAACGACCCAAACACCCAACACCTAGTACCCCTCCAAGATCTCCACCCAAATATCCTTGTCAAGCAATAGCCCCATCGTCCCTAACGACTTCCAACCAACATCCACTATCATTCCTCAAATTCAGATCCATAAGCTCTTTCCACGGTCTCGAGTCACGAGGCTTGATCTCCTTGAATGACTGCAAAAGTCGAACGATGATATAGCTCGACTCTATCAAGGCGTATTGCTCTATCACAATCTGTCAGCAAATCTTTCTTTTCTCTTCCTCATATGTCCCCCTTCAACCACACGTAAAAATTCAGAATTATACTCACGGCCAGGACAAGCCCTCGGACCCAATAAGAAAGGAAGGAAAGCACCCCCTCCCTCCTTGGCTTCCTCACCATTCTCCCATCTCTCTGGTCGGAAAACCAATGCGTCGTCCCCGTAGATCTGTGTTGAACGATGAGTAGCGAAGGAAGAGAAGACGACTGTCTGCCCTTTGTGGATGTAGACTGGCGACTCGCCGTCTGGGCCACCTCCAACAGGGAGGGTTGTGGCCGTGTTAGCGACGCGAGCATTGATCGGGACGGGAGGGTAGAGACGAAGTGCTATTTTGAAGAAAGTTAGAAAGGATTACATTCTAGTGTTGTGGAGGTGGATATAAGAGTAGACAGGATCATAAGAGAGGGGCGAAGTAACGAACCTTCATTGATGACACAGCGCAAATAAGCGAGCTCCTTGATTTGCGTGAATGTAGGAGGTTCCCGGCCAAC